CTTTTTTGAATATGATTTATCCATCTGCTTCTATTCCAATTTTCTTCTTTTTTAAATTTCAATATGCAACCAGTTCAGACACTTATTTTCTAGGAATTATCACATCCATAGACATCTGGGCTTAGTCTCAAGTTTTTCATGTTGTACTCGAATTGACGTCATTCAACTCACTTGTGTTACTATGACTCACATAATCAGTAGTCTCAAGTTAAACCTGTCGAGTGAACTCGAAAAGCGAGAGGAAATATGTCATACTTGGTTTCATATGCCGTTAAGCATGATGGGATTATTTACAATGCATCTGGGTTTGCGACTATAATGATTCGACAAATCAACTTAACTGTAACAAGTTTTAAACAAATCCACATGAATTAGTTTGCACATGTTAGTTAATTTTGTGTTACAGTGATATAGGCCACATAAAGAAAATGGAGATCTCCAATGCTTTTAAAAAAATCAGTGATGAACAGAAATAAATATCAGTCACATACATTGAAAACAATAAGAAAATGAATTCTGGAAAATTTGACAATGAGTTTACTAGAAAAAAACAATTAGATATGTGGAAAGAATTAGTTCAAAAATTAAATATGAGCTTTAGAGCAAAAAAGTCTGTTGTGGAATGGAAAAAAATAAGTATTTTAATTTAATCCTTTCTTCAGTTTTCTTCCTTTATCTGATTCTTAAACTGTTCAATGAACTTAACACTTCTGATCAATAAATAATTTTAATATAATGTCTATGCTTTTAATAATTTATACATATAATTTACTATAATTTTAATTCTCTTTTTTGATGAATTAGATACTTCTTTTCATTTTTGGAAAAATTTGCTGTATAATAATTTTATCAAATAAAATTTTTTTATTAGTGCTGGCTTGACATGAAGAGAAATGCAAAAGAGATGGCATTGAGAATAAAAAACAGTAGAGAAAAGACTGGGGGTGGTAAAGAATCGAATGAAAAGTTATCTTCTTTATAAGAAAGAATTTTTTTCTATAATGATATATATAGTGGTTTTGGGGCAACAAAATTCTGTGGAATCAGAAGTTGAAGAATTTTCAAACATATTGCAGACTGAGGTGAATAATAATCTTAAAATTTAAAATGAATAAAGAATAACATGTTTTAAAAAATGTTATACTTCATTATTTTTCTGTATAGAATGGACAGTATTAAATAATAAGTTTTTGAAATTTCTATCAGTACAGTACTACTACTATCTCTGTTCATATTTTAAAAATGTAATTTATTATTATAATAGGAATCTATAGCACTGCCAGAAATTGAAAGTATCATTGTGATAGGAATATATTTTATTTCTGATTCTGAAAAGGGTTAGTATGCATCAAAATAAATAATCTCATATATAACACAAAAATTTGTTATGGTTTTCAAATGTTTTCAATTTATCTAACAGATAGTGAAAATACAGGTTTATCAAAAGGAGAGTGAGTGTAAGTAAATTTTTAAAATATTTTCAAATTACTTCATTAAAGCAACTGTAGCATTAATTATAAGAACTGAATTTATAGAATCTGTTATAAATGAACTGCATAGTATTAAGTCATATTAATATACAAAGTTATAAGATTTAGTGTAAAAGAATTAATTTTATAGTTAGCACGTACAGTACAAAGACTAAGTTTTCCATATGAAGCTATTCCATATTTAGCTAAAGGAAGAAAAAGAAAACACATCTCTGCTGAAGAAGAATTAAGCGAAGCAAAGAAACGAACAAAGTCGTTTATTCAGCTAGAACAATAAAAAATTAAATTGAATAAAAAAGAACTGGAGTTGAGGGAGAAAGAACTTTCAATATCCGAGGAAAACAAAGACTCCCTTTGAAAAATTGCTACAGCACTAACTACCATTGTTGATATATTAATCTGAAAATTCTTTATAATATTTGAGAAAATATAATATTTTTATGTGTATGTTGAAAAAAAAATTTAATTTGAAAATAAATAAATTATTATTTTAAAGTATTGATTTTTCTGTTCTTTATATCTGAATATTCTTGAAAAAGCAGGCTCTTAACAGACATATATATATATATATGTTACGGCTAAAGCTCGAAAGTCGTTAATGTGTACTGTACATTGTCTAGCTAATCTGCAGATTAACTAGGGTGATCCGTTAAAGTTGCTAAAATTGCTCTATTTCTCAAATTATCTAGATAATGTGCAGAGTATCTAGGTAATCCCCACATTACCTACTAGGCACTCGGTAGAGTGAAAATAAGATCTTTGCCACAAATAAATGTACTACAAATAGGTGTGCTTGTCGCAAAAACCAATTGCTATGAAAATCAGTTTCACCAATCTTTAGACTGCACTAGTAAGTAAGCACAATTGGATAATGTTACATATGGTGAGTAAAATGGCGGCTCGTCTCTGATTCCAGCAAAAAGAAGAAAAGAAACAGTGGGGACGCACGTTCTAACCTAACCTAACCTATTCTAATAAATTACTATAATTATTACCAACCAAATTATTAAATTATTATTTAAATATCTCTCTCCCTTGACAGAAGTGGAGAAACTTTGCTCCATCAGTCTGGCCCTTCCCCGGACTACCTTTACAAGGTATTTTTGGAGGAACAGGGTCCCCTTCGTCATCTTCGGCCAGCCGAGATTCATGCGCTTCTCCCAGCCAGACCGGTTACAGGACGTCCACTACTTCCACAGCGGTCTCCTTCTTATAAAGACCAGAGACCTCGGGCCGTTGAGGGCCCTCCAGATCACAGCCCTTGATGGGATTCCGGTCCACAGTCCCATAGCTCTGGGATGCCCACTGGCCCTTCCATGTCCTGGCCATAGCACGAACTGGGATTGGTATACTGCTCATCTTAACCAGTTCTGGTCCCTTGAGGGACCCAACCCTCCTCGTATAGTTCTTTCATTGGCCAGCTCCAAGAGGACCTGTGGACACTAAGAGGGCCTTTTTTCAGCAGACCATTACGGGTTCGGCCAGACACACAAGGGGATCCTCATAGCCTACTTTTTTCGAGGAGTAGATACTTCCATTGCAGTCCAGGAGATCTACGATATTCTTTTGGAAACAAATCTCCCGGTTATAGCGATATGTCGATTCACTAGGAAAGACGAGGATTACGTCGTACCTAACCCCACCATCTACTTTTGGTGGCCAGTAGCTATTATTGGATTCACTAATCCTGTTCTTAGTATCTCGGAATTTGGTAATCCTTCGCTAAAAGTTATTGNGTGATCCGTTAAAGTTGTGAAAATTGTTCCATTTCTCAAATTACCTAGATAATGTGCAGAGTATCTAGGTAATCCCCACATTACCTACTAGGCACTCGGTAGAGTGAAAATAAGATCTTTGCCACAAATAAATGTACTACAAATAGGTGTGCTTGTCGCAAAAACCAATTGCTATGAAAATCAGTTTCACCAATCTTTAGACTGCACTAGTAAGTAAGCACAATTGGATAATGTTACATATGGTGAGTAAAATGGCGGCTCGTCTCTGATTCCAGCAAAAAGAAGAAAAGAAACAGTGGGAACGCACGTTCTAACCTAACCTAACCTATTCTAATAAATTACTATAATTATTACCAACCAAATTATTAAATTATTATTTAAATATCTCTCCCTTGACAGAAGTGGAGAAACTTTGCTCCATCAGTCTGGCCCTTCCCCGGACTACCTTTACAAGGTATTTTTGGAGGAACAGGGTCCCCTTCGTCATCTTCGGCCAGCCGAGATTCATGCGCTTCTCCCAGCCAGACCGGTTACAGGACGTCCACTACTTCCACAGCGGTCTCCTTCTTATAAAGACCAGAGACCTCGGGCCGTTGAGGGCCCTCCAGATCACAGCCCTTGATGGGATTCCGGTCCACAGTCCCATAGCTCTGGGATGCCCACTGGCCCTTCCATGTCCTGGCCATAGCACGAACTGGGATTGGTATACTGCTCATCTTAACCAGTTCTGGTCCCTTGAGGGACCCAACCCTCCTCGTATAGTTCTTTCATTGGCCAGCTCCAAGAGGACCTGTGGACACTAAGAGGGCCTTTTTTCAGCAGACCATTACGGGTTCGGCCAGACACACAAGGGGATCCTCATAGCCTACCTTTTTCGAGGAGTAGATACTTCCATTGCAGTCCAGGAGATCTACGATATTCTTTTGGAAACAAATCTCCCGGTTATAGCGATATGTCGATTCACTAGGAAAGACGAGGATTACGTCGTACCTAACCCCACCATCTACTTTTGGTGGCCAGTAGCTATTATTGGATTCACTAATCCTGTTCTTAGTATCTCGGAATTTGGTAATCCTTCGCTAAAAGTTATTGGTGAAATCCTCGCATCAGTAATCTCGGTATTAGACTAATCGCTGGATTTACAAATACCACGATTAGGCAATGTTGGTGAAACACCCGTAAGAGGGACTTCTTAATTATACCCATTATAAGTTAGGCAGTTTCAATGGGACGGCCGAGAGATGAGAAACGGGATCCTATATATTCGAAACAGACCATTCCCAAAGAATTTCCCAATTTGCTCGCCCGGATTCGATCTTAGGCTTCCCGTAGCGATAAGCTGTCGTTGTCGTTAACATAATACAGTACTTAAAAAGATAAAGAAAAAAGATGTAAGACAATCGTATTCGGATTTAAAAATGAAATACGCAATCGACCCCCTATAACACTGTTGATTTTTCCGTTTTATATGAATTCCATGTTGTACGAGTCACTTAGCTTTTACAAATGCGTGAGCCGTTCACAGTCCGGCACACGTATTTGTAAAATCTAAGTGACTCGTACAACATGGAATTCATATAAAACGGAATAATCAACAGTGTTTTAGGGGGGTCGACTGTATTGTAAACCGAAAATACAGTTTACGATATATGTTTTTACTTTTCACAACTTCTGTATATTTCAATAGATGTCTCCTATATTTATAAAATTTTAATAAATATCTCAATTTAAGAAAACTCTTCAAAAGACATTTTAATTAAAAGTTAGCAGTATTGAATATTATTAAAATGTTATACATTATATTGTGGTGAATTTTCTGATAAAATACATTAATTTAAGGCGACTTTACTACCTGGCAACGCTACTTTCGACGGAATCGTTGACGAGAGTACAAAATGGCGCCTTGATTAACGTTATTTTTATCATTGAATATTTTAGATATTTGTAAATATGTCCGAAGAGGGGAACTCTCATTCTTCCGCTTTGTTTCCAGCCTATAGCGGCATTGTTCCCGAAAATAAGTGTGAAAGTAAGTTTTTACTGAAGATAACTTTATAGATTTTATGGCACTTGTGCAGTTTGAAAGGTTTTCTTCTATAAAATTAATCGATTCTAGACTAATTTGACTCGATAATTTCCAAAACACGTATAACTTTTTGGGAATGATCCATATAAAATATGCTATAAACAAAAAATTGTAGGAATACTTACCGAGCGTGCACAGTTCGAAAACGCCATTAACTAAGCTTGTTTTCGTCGCGGAGCGTCACATTGGATGGCGGACGCGTACGAAGCGTGTCACGTGACATTTCTCGGTACACGTCTCGGCCTCGCCTTAATCTCTGACGTGTTCCTGTAGGGAGTCGATTGTTTATATCCTCCAGTTGATCACATGTATTAGCAACTTTTATTAATAAATATTCACATTATACAATAGTCTGCTTGTATTTTAATATATCAATTGCACACTTTACCATCCCACAAAATATTCTTATTTGATACATAAAATTAGTATAATTACACCTCTGAATGAGTCTGTTGGGAACTTAAGGTTGTAGAACATACCCATAGGAGCAAAAAAGTCAAAGGAACTATTCCTCTATATATGACCCTTTGTGAGATACGGCCCCCTAAATTGGTCTACTTTCAGGTTGGATGCAATTGCAAGTTGCATTGCTCCACAAAACTAATGAGTTTAACTATGTAGCACATGTTACTATGCCGGCTTTGAGCACCCACTTGACTGATTGTGGAGTACTTGATATTATATAGTTCAAGGGGGTGTGGCGGGCACCAGGATGCGAGTGATAGGGTGCATTTACTTTTTGCTAGCTTCCAAGCTCACTGGGCTGATACTAGCACACTTGTAAAAGTATGCACAATAATGGACACCGCTATCTTTGAACAAACTCCAAGCTCGTTGTAAATTCTCCGAGCACACTAGGAATGCTAGCAATGACATCACGGGTGCAAAAAGTAAACACTGTGTTCATTGGTAGCTAACAAAAAGTATACAGGCTGAGCGCGCTAGGGGCAAGATCGAAGCTAAAAGTAAATGCACCCATAGTGAGCACTGAAGCATGTGACTACATGTTCCACGAGGCAAGTGATAGCTAGGGTTGTATATACAGGTATGGTTTCTTTGAGATTTTTGCTCATACGAGGATGGAAAACTGCTCGTTTGGAGTTCGTATCTTACTTTAAATTGCATCACTTCACGACATTTTGCATAATGATATATTCCATTAGATTATAACAGAGTTGAAAAATCTGTAGTTTCCTGTATTTTTTTATGTTTAGATACATAAAAACTTATTTCTATGTTATATATAGTCATAGAAATAAGTTTTTACTTATTACTCATAGTCATGTAAGAATAATAGACTACAATGTAAGGTTTGTCTAAGTACAATCTATGATGCTTGCTTAACGATGTATTTCTCAGAACATATTCTCATTGTTAAGCAATGTGTACTGGTATATAGGATTATAAACAAAATGTCTTAGCATCACCTTATTCAACTTACTACTGATTTGTTATAAGTTGTAAAATATATTGTAGTCAAGATTTATGAGCACTCAATATATGACAGTTCAATATGAGCTGTTTGCTTGTACCCTGATTTATGAGAGAAAATATTTTGTGTAATGAGTGTGACAACTGATACATAAATAAAACACTTTAATAAACATGGCTGAATCAATGCATGGTCGTATCTGACCATGACCAAGGACCTTTCCATTTTAGGGATTTTGTCTTGCATACCTAGCAAAGTCATGATACTATGTATCAACTTGAGATAGGAAAGCAGAAAGTGACATAGGCTATTTTTACACAATGCCACCCAGAGTTTCCAGATTGAGGAGTTTTTACCGACTGATAGAAAATTTGGGAAATTTTTTGGGGTGACATTTTTTTTTAGTTTGATCCTTTTTCAATAGACTAAAGCATTAAAATTTTGACAAGATAGAACATTGTTTTGTCATCTACAGAGTAAATGTAAATTGTAATGAATTTTTAGTTGTTTATTTCCAATAATTACATAAATGTTCAATGGATTTTCTTCAAAATGTAATCATTGATTTAAATTTTATTAAATTTGATAAAAATCAAGCAAGATTTCGTTCGGTTGTTGTTAGGGGATTGATTATTTTGGTATTATAAGTCAGCTTTAAGCAGAGACTAATTATTTATCAAGAACACGGTAATATGTTTATAAAGAAATAGTGCTGTAACATATATTTTTTAACATACCTGAAATTATATTAATTTTGATTGTAATTTTTATAGATTTACAACAAGGAAATGATTGGCTTGTTAACAGTAGTTATACTCCTGCCTGTGAAGAGACTTTATTATCATTTCGCCAAGAGTAAGTTTCATCTGTTGTTTTTGATATTAAAATATTTTATTGATAGAGTTTCAAATAACAAGGTTTTCTATAATTGTACAGTAAATCCTATTACTTTTTAATGACTTATTGCATATAGCAGTAAATAATTTAGATCAAATTAAACTATTTTTACACAAAATTACAGAGAAAGAATTTACATATAAAACCAACCCAATACATGTTGATAATCAAATTATATGGATGGATTCTGATCAGACTATCTCTAATCCAAATTACTTAGTGTCTTAATAATTAATTAGTTATATTATAGCTTAATAAGAATTAACTGTATCATTTGATAAAGAATTTACATGTACAGTAATACCCCGAACTTATGCGATAGGTGGAACCGAGCCATAACCACGTAAATCGAATTCGCGTAAGTCGGGGTATAATTTCACAATTTGTGTAAAATCCAAGTCGGATGTATGTAAGCTAATAAATATAAATAACATCAACATAAAGCCCGATTGGTATACATACAAAACTTCCAAACGATCGCCTGAATAACGGGCTATAATATGGCTACTTAAAATGATTAGAACCAAAGCAATTTGTCTTAAGAGGTAAGCGTTAGGCGCCATCTCGTAACTAAATTAATAATTAAATAAATATAATTAATTAAATTAAATTAAATTTAGAACCTTCTNTTTATATATATATACCTCGCCGGGTGTTACGTTAGCTGGCTGAGTGCCATTGAGGGTCGTGGGCGATGAAGTCGCCCCCAGTCAGTGATGTATTTAACCAAGCTAATAAATGTTCTCATTAATCTTATCTTGTCTTTTGATTCGTTCACGGTTACAAGAAATCACCATATAGAGTCTCTCAAGTCTCCGTAGATATAACAAATACAGAAATAAATAACGCAAAATAAATTGTAGCTAGCATCGATTCCGTGCGACACGTCCGAACATGTAAGCCGAACAATAGTGTGGGGGGAATGAGTAATCAAGAGTTGCGTGGCATTCAAACAAAAGACAAATCGATGAGATTTGAAAATCGCATAACTCCGGGTTCGCATAAGCCGAGGTATTACTGTATTTCTGTTGTGAACATTGGATTAATTCATATTAAAAATAAATTGACTAATGTAAAGAAAAAACAGTCTGAACTGTGCTTCAGATACTTAATATTCTGTTTTTAATAATTTGTAGTAAAATCTCACTCACCAATGCAAACTAATTAGGGTTCAACTTTATTTGGGTTTTAGCAAGTGTTTCGACTAATTAAAAATTTTTTTTCTGATGTATTTTTTATGTTGTAAAACCAAAACCATTCACACTTCCAGCAAGTGGGTTTAATGAATGAATATGCAGATGTTTTCAGTTTATTTTATAAACCAGTCTCAGGTTTATAAAGTAATTGAAATTGCATTTGGGAATTTGGAATTTTGTACTTTGAAATCTGAGGCAGGTTTACAAAGTAAAACAAAAACATTTGTATTCATTCATTAAACTCATTTGCTGGAAAAGTGTGAATGGTTTTGGATTTTACAAATTATCTGTTTCAGCTTTGACTTTGGATTTTAGAATTTTTTATGTTTGTGGGGTTTCTGAATATACTTAGTTGGATAAGTCTGTTGTATTACATCAGGATGACTTACAGAAAACAAATTATTTTTTAGAATTGGCAAACTTTGTTCACATGTGGGTATTTCAACCTCTTTTATGATTGTGCAGGAAGGAAGACCAATTTTTGTTTTCTATTCCTATAACAAATTTTTATGTATTTTGAAGGTACATGTACAGCATGCTGTATTCCAGATGGTGCAGAGTAAGCACAATAGTCTTTTGATGAGGGAAAGAGAAAGGAAACATTCAAGAATGCATTAAACAGCACATTGGTAAACTATGATGTACTATAACATGTTCTGATATTCTCCAAGTTCAAGGTGGAGTGACCAATGCATATTGCACTCATTGAGCTGTGGATACAGAGAGCTCTGATGAATCAGTATAGGCTCCTCCATAATAATAATATTAAAATCATTTTTACTGCTCATTCATATTCACCCAGAGTTATTTTGACATAATAAGTCTGCAAATGCCAACATAGTGCCATTTGCTTCTCCCACCTTGTTATGTTGCCAGACATTCTATTTGATTTAACTGGAATTTCGTAATGTCAGAGTTAGTGAGGTTCTATTTTACTAACATCTATTGCCATTGTGTACTTTCAGGCTAAATTATATTAATAATTTAATGAAAGCTAGCATTATAACTTGAAAAAATGTTATAAATTCTGATTTAAATAAACTGATTAAACATCAGTTATTTTTTACTTCATTTGTTATATTTACATTAGACCTTAACTTGAGTTGTTGTACAAGTATGTGAAGCTTCCTAATAAAATAACACCATGATATAAATAATAAATAAAGAATAGTGGACTATCTCGAGGTATCAAATTCAAGAATTTAAAACAAAATTTTACAGCTTGGTGATAGTCTAGTAGAAAATACTAATAACAGGAACAAGATAAGCCTGAATTTAATTAATATCCAAGTATTTGTATCTATACTAAGTAAAGGTTTTATGCTTTATTTTAATTTGATTTATATGATTTTATTGACTTTTTGGGATCTAAAGTAACCATTTTTATACTTTCAGAACTGTTCAAATAAGTGAAGATGAAATTAAGAAAGAAGAATGTGATGTTAAGGAAGCTGAGACCGAAAAATCTACAACAAAGTATCAAAAGTCAAAGAAGGAGTCGAAGTCTTCATCTAAAAAGAAACATAAAAAGCATAAGAGAACAAAATCATCGAGGGTAGAAGATTTAGGAGGAAGGTTAGAATAAAATTTATATCATAAATTGTAATAAATATCTAAAATTATTTCTAATATTTAATTAATTTTCAGGCCTGCAGAAAGTGTTTATGAAATTTTATCAAAGAAAATATTCATTGAGGAGACTGGACTTGCACCTGAGCATGCTTATCGCATCGATTGCAAATCTGACAAACAAAATCTTGCTTTTAATACTTTCTATCATAAACACACGGCAACATATTTCAGTGATAATAAAATTCCGCTTGGTTTAACAGAATTTGAAGAAAGTAGAATGATCATTAACTCTTTAAAGAGGAAGAAGAAGAAATTAGCACGATATTGGAAGAAAAATAAAACAGAAATGCTACAAAACAATGATATTTTAGACTTATCAAAACCATTAATAATTGATACTCATGATGCCAAGCCTTATATTCCTATTGAACTGTCGATAAATGAATTAAAAACAGCTTCTAAAATTGATAATACACAAATAAATTCTCTTGGAATATACGATTCTGCCACCGAATTATATATTCAAGGAAAAGCTTCAGTTAGTAAAGAAGCTGGAAGTGGTGGTGATGATTTAAGTGGTAGCTCTTACAGATCTGCTGTAGAGCAGTATTTATATGCAAAAACTGAAGAATTTAATAAAGCCTTAAGAGAAGATCCAACCAATGAGCAAAAATGGATAGATTTTGTTGCCTTTCAAGATGATGTTACTAGCAAAGAACAGATGAAATACTCACAAAGAAGTGGATGCTTGGAAAAGAAAGTTTCCATTATAGAAAAAGCATTAACTCATATTCCAAATTCTTTACCTCTTGCAATTTTGAAACTTGAAATCTGTCAAGATCTATGGGAAATAGATAAACTTCTAAATGAATGGAAGCAGTTATTGTTCTACCATCCTAATAATACATATCTCTGGCAGCAGTACATACTTTTTGTCCAGTCACACCTGTCATATTTTACAGTCTCACGGACTTGTAAACTGTATATAAAATGCATCGAAACATTAAATAAAATCTTGTCGGGAACATTTCAATCTCATCAGCCGTCTAAGAATTTAGAAGAGACCATTTTGGGTGAGTTTAATACATATTTTGATAAAATGAATTTTATACAATCACTTAAAATTGTAGTTTTAAAAATATTAATAAATAAAACTAACAGGGAAATCTGAGATCTATGATTAAATCCAGGTAAACTTTCCCAGAATTTTTCAGGGATGGTCTGACTGGATATGTTGGTAAATAATTCAGTTGCAGACTCTGTACTTGCAATTTAATTATTTACTATTAATTTGAATAAAGGTTTTGTCTCTACAGACAAGCTGTATCTGCAACAGTTCATTACTGTGATCTCATCAGTACATGTGTACATATTTAATACTTAAGATATAATAGGGTACAAATCTATTGATTTAGTGGCATACTTGGAGAAAGAGTTGTTACTAGCCCATCATCAAATGTTTGTGTAACAGCAGACTTCTAAGTAAACATTTGATGACGGAGTAATCAATTCAGTGACATGAAATCTGCTTCTATGAAGACATTTCATGCTATTGAATGAGGCCAATGTATTTTTTATTATGTTAGATATTTGATTTGATTAATATTAAAAGTTAAATATTTTATGTAAATTTTTCTATTAATAAAAATATTTCATTAATATAATTACTAAACTTTGATTTATACAGATATTTTCTTCCAGTACTGTACATTTTTAAATCAGTGCGGTTATACAGAAAAGGCCATAGCAACATTTCAAGCCTTAATTGAGTTTAATATGTTTCGTCCAAGAGTTCTCCCCAAAGAAACGACAGAAGAGGACCTCAAGACTTTTTTTGAACCTTTCTGGGATAGCGGTGCACCGCGGTTTGGAGAAGAAAATGCCCCCGGGTGGGATAAAGTCTTTATGGAGAAGAAATTAACTTTTCACAGAAACGAATCCTCAATAGGTATTTAAATTTAAACAATTTAATAATCTAATACTTAAGCAAAAAATTTATTTAACATATATTTTAAAAAATTATTTAAGTAGTTGGTATCATGTAAAGTATGTAAAGTACACTCTTGCTAACCAGTCTGTCAATTATCTGGTATATTTCCAGTGTGATCTCTTCTGCATTTCTGTTTTGTGAAAATGTTAGTCATGTCATACATTGTTTTCTTGATTTCATTCTGTACAGTGTACATGGTATTGCGTGTCGGTGTACTGTATTATTTCTCCACCTGTCTTCAGAATAATTGGTACTGAACAGATCACAACATTCATTACCATTAGGCAGACTTTAGATTAATTCACTCTCAGTAATCCAAGGCAGTTATACCTCTGTGCAAGAAAGGGACAGATTAGCAAGTTCTAGTATAATTTGAAGACAATACAAAATATAAGTTGAAGTCTTAGTGTGTCCTCATGCCATAACACATAGGAACACAAACACAACTGCAGTCAACTGTTATAAGCTCTATTGTGTTTCTGTCGCATGTAAAGGGCCTGCAACTAATTTTTCATTTTGGATCTTTTTTAATTGATGTTACAGTTGAAATTACTGCAATTTGCAGTATATGAAATACAGTTTTCATCTCTCAACATTACAACATTAAAAGCGCTCAGCAAGTAAACATATATATTAGAACACCTTAATTTTGCTGAGAATTATATATTTTAAACACAAACGCTTTCAACCTGATTAACAGGCCATCCTCAGGTCTAAAAAAACGAAAATGGAACAGATACGTTCCATGTATAGAATATAAATATTTAAATCAAAGCCAATCAAAACCCAAGGATGAGAAGTTTCTCTTAGTCATTGTCATTGCACCCTCAATATATACATACAGATCAACACCAATGAGGAAAAAAGAAAATGAAAACATATTTCCATAAGTATTAATTCATAAGAGCAAAATTCAACTTTAAAATATAAAATGACTAGCAGATGAGCCCGGTGTTGTTCAGGCAAAAAGTAACAATAGCAAAAATTAAGATTATTAGATTATCCCCTTTTTTTACCAGGTGCAAGAATTAGGTTCACCCTCTTCCAAGACTAATTAGAGAATTTTTAGATGGGTCTGAAAACATCTTCGATTTCTCAAAAAAACCACATTTAAGATAGTACAGTAAAATCAGAAGTCAGAGTAATCCTTTACCCTCTCCCCTGCAGGGGAAATTTCAGAAAGTCTGTTCTTTGTCTACATTCTCATGGTGTAGCCTGTGTACTAAATTTCAATTTTCAACTCCTAACCATTTGGACTCTGCACTTAATGTTAATAATAATAATAATAATAATTTTATCATTATCAACCCATCTCGATTATAAGATTCAGGATAAATCTAGAAGTCAGAAGAGGCCAGAGGTACTGTACACCATCCCTGGACTAGGTGTTTTAAGTCTTTCCACTCTATGGACACTAAGAGAGCATCTTTTAGCCTATTCGACCCAGTGTCAAAGGTCCCGGCCCAACACGTCTGGGCGAACCAACACCCAAAAAATTCCAGGGGCTTTTTCGACCTGTCCGGATTCAATCCTGAGTCCCTCGAAGAGGTAAGATGCCACCTCGACCACTTGCCCATCCGGCCATCTCTGGGACTAGGTAACGAGCGACAGGTGCATTATGTTACAAAGTGGCTTTAACATAGCCAGATAACCAAACCAACAACAGCCCATTTTATTTGAAAACGGGCCACGTCGTCAGTTGGTTTATCTGATCATATTAATGCCTGCTTTACTAGGAAACCCATCCAACACTCATCAAGATAAAAAGGGACACAATCCCTAAATACAGTAAACACAACAAATTAATATGAATTTTAATCATTATAACGCATTATTTATAACATTTAATTTAAGATAAGATTTATTAAATGAACATTGCAATTTTACCTTTGTGCACCGTCACGGCAGCGGTCGCGACTGTTCAGACTCCTGCCGGAGGGAAACCATTGATTGTTTAACTTCCCTAGTTCTTGATTCACGGTAGTTCTTGAACACACGTAAAAGTCCGTTGGGAAAACGATTAGTCACGACGGCCATAACGGTGCACATAAGGATTGCAGGTAGAATTTTACCTAAGTCTAAATCCAATAAATCTTACTTGTGAGTTTGTCCACTTGTAAATCTCTAGTCAANTACATGATTAAAAAGTTCACTGAAAACTCAAGCTAGAATTAGTTTATTGGAAGATTTATTATATTTTTTATTTTTTAGTTTATTTTGTGTTATTTTTATATATTCTCTTGTATATTTTAATTTTATTTTGTGTTATTTTTATATTTTATTCCGTTTCTCTTGTATATTTTTAAAATTTTTGTTCTAAATTTTGATTTAAATATTTATATTCTATACATGGAACGTATCTGTTCCATTTTCGTTTTTTTAGACCTGAGGATGGCCTGTTAATCAGGTTGAAAGCGTTTGTGTTTAAAATATATAATTCTCAGCAAAATTAAGGTGTTCTAATATATATCTCAACATTACTTTATGTCTTATTTAGCAAAAGTCAAGCTTAGGATGCAACTTAGATCCTATATATTACAAAATAGATCTTAAGCCGACCTGCACCCCAACCATTTCATCAATGTTCATGATTCCATCACAGATTATACAAACACACTGATTATTTTCTGGCTGCATATCTTTAAGTTATTATTATTATATGAATTGTCTGAAAATCATATTTTAACATTAAAATTAGTCTTTTCAAATCAAATCACAAAAAACTTCCAAAAACTAAATTTCATCTTCAATAATTCCATTTAGTATTAATGAATTTAATTAATTTACAATAACTTTTATATTATCTTGATTTATTAATAAAAATAATCAAATTTGACTAGTTTTTATGGTCAATTTTCATCATAAACTGTTGCTGATAATTATTATTAATCTTAACACATATCTTTATTTTAAAAAATACTTTTCTTATTGTTATGATTATTAGATATTAATTTGAAGGAAGAAGAAATTCTAGAAAATGCCAGTTCAAAGTCTCACGTATGGATTGAATTTGAAAACTTACGCGAACAGCATCACTGGCTGCCTTGGAGTCCAAATCTAGAAAACAAGGAAGATGACTGTGAAGATCCGGATAGGTCAATTCTGGTTGATGATGTCAGTGATGCGTTGTTTTCTTTAAAATCTGAAAAGCTGAAATTCCTGTTGATTGTTCAATTTCTTAGATTTCTAGGAGTGAAATTTGAAGATTACAATAGGACGCCTTACTGCAATAAAGACTTTTTAAACCAAATATTTATCGAAAGTCCAGCAGAAGTACATCCATTTTTACATAATGAAATGTCTTCATTTGGTTGTACAGATTATCATGCTAATTTAACACTTCTAACGAATCAACAGAGATTTATATCTTTAATAAATCGATTATTCGAGCAGTCCATTAAATTATTTTCTTTTGACTACAAACAGTTTTTGACATTTCATTGGATCAAGTTTAATATTAGACAACTTCAAAACACTGCTGACAAATCTAACTATAAGCAAGAGTTGAAGAAAATTAAAAAACTTATTAAAAATTTATTAAAGGAAGAAATAAATCGAAATAATTTAGATCTGTGGCAAGAATATGCTAGACTGGAATGGTTGGATGGAAAATTTAAAGAGTCAGAAAATGTCTTTCAGACAGCAATTTCTTTAAGTAATACCTTTCAGATAAATGAAGCTAGTTTATGGAAATTTGTACAGACTTATGTTGAGCTGCAATTAGGAATACATTCAATAGTTAGTTTTGGAATAGGTAAATTAGAAGTAGCAGAAGAAAAGAAGGCTAAGTCACTTTACATGCTGTGCTTCTTAGGAATGGATTATCCATATGTATCTAAGTGTGTAAAAAGTTTAACAGAAATTCCAGCAACGACAATTTTGAAGGCTCGAAGTGGATTTCAGAGGATTATAGAATTAAAAACAAACAGTATGACAGAAAATAGTGATGAATTTGTGAAACCTTCGGATTTAGCAACAAGAATCTCGTGTTTTGCGTATTTTCAATATCTAACTTGCGGAATCTCAACTGTAGAAAATTTGTATGAAAATATTATCAAAGTATTAGCTAATTCATCCAATGATAATTGTTATAAGTAAGTATATTTAAGTGTTTTTAAATACAGGCATGTATCACTTAACTGAGGTCATATGAGATTAAAATATAGCTGAAAATAGCATGCATAAGGACATTGTGCAATGCATTAATGCACAAACAAACCTACTGGGTAGCCAGTCATGTAAAACCACATAAAGTGTGTATAAAACGTTTGTGGAATGAAATATATCATAAAATTTAAGTTTAGATACATAAATACTTATTATTGTGTTACTTATATCCTATATCAGTATTTTATACCATATATAGTTTGTACTACTAGGCCATCGTCTATACCAGGAGTGGGCAATCTTTTTCTCAGGAGCCACGTGGATAACTGTAAAGTCTCTAGTGGACACAAGTCAGATGATTGTGAGTTCTATCACCTAATTGAATACCAATCAACTGATAGCATTCACAATCACAGTCTAAATCTAAGTGTGAACATATGTAGAGTACAAGATTGCTGATTTTCTAATGTTCCAAAGCATGTACTGATTATGTATTTAACATTTTATTAATAAAATTATTAAACTTGTGTGCAGACCACATAAAACAGTGTCACTGGCTGTAGTTTGCCTAATCGTGGTCTAAACCAAATTATATACCACTATGCCTTAGACTATACCATATTATATACCATTATACCATAGTCTAAACTAAATAACATATAAACCTTTGTTTAAGTATATTTTATGATGATTTGTTAACATTTATCTTGGAATTATCCTTGTTGTTAAGTGATACATACCTGTAAACTGGAGTCCTTTAATTAGATTTCAAATTATTTTCTAGTGAATTTGAAATCTAATTAAAGGTATTCAATATAATATATATAAATATTTTTTTTTATATTACCAGAAAGGAAATAGAAGCAATATTTGCATCATATCTGCAGTTGTATACCTTCCATTCTTCAATAGCAATTGTTTCACTGAAGAAAATCCGGCCAATTTTATCAAAAACACTTGATACTTTTCCTGAAAATCCCTATTTTTTATGGTTATTTTTGGACTTAGAAGTCGGTTCTGGAATTGCCAATTATTTTCGAAGGTATGATATAGAGTAAATCTCTAATATTTGAAAATAGGAAAACTTACACAATTTTCATTTATATTTCAGATATTTTACCAAAACTCTAAAACAAGAATCAAAAGTTTCATTAATGCAATGGTTGTTTGCTATTATTGCCGAATTAAAGAGATATTTTAAACTATATAATGTAGAGCAGCTTGATAACTTATGTAAGTATACTTTTTAATTGTTATAATTATTTTTAATAATATAAGTACATGTATTTATTGTAAAGAACAATATATATATAAGTAGATTAATTAAGATAGATGATTTGTTTATTAATCATGCTTAGGAGGAGGAAGAGTGCTTATAATTTGAATTTCTTTATCATTATCAGTGAGATAAAGTTTGATAGACAACACAGAAAACAAAACATGAGACATAGATCTATTTTCTTATATTTTCTAACAAAATAAACAATGAGAAGAATGCATACAGCTTTTTAATAAAAGAAAATAATAATAAATTTTAACTTACGATAACCTAAACTAATTAGTTGAGAGTCCAAACAGTCAGTTCACTTGCTAATAGCACAAGAAAATAATTATAGGTTAGATGTTTTGAGCTTTGAGGAATTTGCAGATGATCATGAATATACATAATATCCAATGATTTGTGCATCCATGTAAGTCATGGATGCACAAATCATTGGAAAAAATAAGTAGGTTAAAAAATAATAGTTTAGTTGTTTAGAAACAAAAGGAATATCTTTGGAAAATGAATATGAGCCACAAAATCATATAAATTGATTAAAACCAATGGATGTTTTGCCTAATAGAAGTAATTGAACTCCAATGCCTGCGATTGAGACAGAAAATATAAAATATATAACTCGATAGAGAGAAGATGCAGGTGCGATAACTTTCCTGAACACAGTTTCAGGATCCAGTCTAATAGTGAAGCAAATCAACTATCTACCAAAAAGAGTTTGCAAGTTTTCACGAGAAGTATAATAATCAAAAATAAGTCAAGAAGTCAATGGTTGGTTTTCATGATGGTCAGTTTTTAATAGTCAACTAAATACTTTATATACAGTTATTCTTGCTGCCAGTGTAGTCCTCAAATCAAGAAAGAGAGAAAGTTCTAAGGGAATTGTACGAAAGAAAATTATGTTCTCACCAATTTTCTTGCCCAACTAATTCATTTTCTTTTATTCATCTTTCATGTAGTTATGATCCTAAACCTAGACTCTTCAAATCATCAAACTCTTGAGATCTCTCACAGATAATTTTTTGTAATACTGTTCATGGGAATACACAAAACAGAAACTTCTATAATGTATATCAATTGAGTTTAACTAGAATAAATTAAATTTATTAAAAGAAAACAGAGTTGATCTCTGTTCTGGAAGTCATGTCCTTGCCACAGGAAAGGAAAAATCTCCAAGTCCCTAAACTGGAGTCTGAAATTCTCAGAATTTGAATCTGACTGGTGTCATCCTGACATAATAAATGAGTAAATCTCAACTTGCTATAAGGACCCCATAATGAAATAATATAATGGGAAATATGTATCTGTATAACAATTATTTGTAAGTCTATTCGTGTTTAACTATAAATTGGATAAAAATTGTTAATCCCAAAGAACAAAAATCGACCTTAATTATTTTAAATTAATAAATAAAACACGTTTTGCTCCACTTGTTTCTGTAGAAGTAGAAAGATTGTTCTCCATAAATGATCATTGTTAGAAGACAAGAAAATGAACTTTATAGAGAAACATATCAAAGTGATAAATATCATGTATTACAACAGATTTTCATTTGAATAAAATTAATTGTGTTTTCTGAAATGTAAATTTTTGCATTTATTTCTGCCCCTTTTCAGTCGTCTTCCCACATCTTTTTTGCACCTAAAAGTCCAGCCTTTAACTATCACATCAGTGCATAGTGGAAAGATTAATATCCCACACTATCATAGGTTCATTTATACTTAACACGGGTCACGAGTTCACTTTTGACTAACAAGTTATCTGCATAGAGTTATATGAGATTCCTATGTGTGTCTAAATAGGAGCCAGTTTTCCACAGAAAATCCTTTTGTAAAGCACACCCTTGGAAGATTGTCTTATCTAATTGAGCCAATCCTTTCATACTTGAAAATGTCACATTAATTGAGTCAAAACTGTTAAATTTTCTTAAAACATTACCTACTGTTAAAGGTGTATTGTTTGTTTTGTTCCTTTTCATGTTCAAATCAAAAAACTGTGTGAGAGCTGCTCAGTATGAAATATATATTATATTACATACTTTTGCATACTTTTATTGGAGATGATGATAATAATAATAATAATAAATATGTAAAATTTGAGAACGAATTGTCTGTATGCAATTTGATAAAATTGTTATTTGTTTTCTTTTTAATTCAGGACAATAGAATTGAATTCTGTTAGTTAGAATTGATATTTATTGCTCTATAATCTGATATGAAATTGCTTTTGAATGAGAGTTCAATAGTCATTTTGTTTTTGTACTCTTTCACCTGTTCCATGTGGTAATTATATATTGAGTGAAACTTGTGTATTTTAATGGATTTGTATAATTTACAGGTATTTCTGAAACTGGTTTGAGTTGGAAAATTCGTTCTTTATTTGAAAAAGCTGCTACAATGTCAAAACTGTCGCATTCTGTTTTGCTGTGGAGAATGTATATAAGATTTGAGGTAAGTTGTCAAATAAGTATACTCACTAGAAAAGTAATTTATATAATTATCCAGAAATTTTGACAACACTTGTATATCTGAAAGCCAGGTTATTTTTAAGCTAGAAATGGGCAAATTTTAATGGGCTTAATTAAGTAAATTACAGAAATTGTCCCTAATATACAAGTTTCCATGTCAAATTTTGTATCTTAATCTTTATCCTATCCTGAGAGATCAAACAAAATAGATGTTGATACACACATGTGCACACATCAATTCACAAAATGGTTTTTTCTGTGTTTTGACTTTTTTGGGTTCAGGAGTCTCAAAATGTTGAGACAATAAAATTTTAAAGGTTTTTTTGGTTGCATGGATTCAACTCCACATCCCTACAGTGGTAGACTGACAGGTAATCTGGTCATCTAATTAAATAATTCTAAAAATTTCAGAAAATCAGATTGATCTGGTCTTCCTGGGTTATCCTGAATATCTTGGGATAAAATATAATTATGCAAAATTACTTTAATTCTATATGATGTTAATCTAGCTTTTAGATATGTAATTGTAGAGAAAAATGAGATTTTATTTTAAAAAAAAGTTATTAAACACTTAAGCTTACAAAGTTCAGTTTTAAATCATATTTTTTAAATAAAATGCTTAAATTCATGATAATAAGTATCTAAAATGTTAATTTCAGTTGCAGCAAGGTGATATGAGAAGAACTAAAGCTGTGTTCTATCAAGCTATTAAACAGTGCCCTTGGGCAAAGGTAACTTTTTTAAATTTAATTTCTGTGTTAGTCTTAATATAACATGATCATAATTAAAGAATAGGTGTTCAAATGTACAAGGTGTCCCAAGGCTGTACCGCATAGTGCCAAAAATCGCCACATGGCAATATTTTTGTTAAAGTGGTGATAAAAACATAATGCTGGCAATAAAAACCCTAGTCCACTTATATTGACATTTAGCCTGAAATTGAATCACAAAGTACACCTGAAGAAAAATATCAAAATATCAAGCACCCATATGATGGGAGTCCATGCACCACACACCTAGCAATGCCGTGATGTCATGCAACAAGTTACGACAGGAAAGCAGGATGTGAGCCTAGAATCAAAAGCTGTTTTCATGCAATGCCACCCAGCATTTCCAGATTGGGGATTTTTTATTGACTGACGGGAAATTTTTTTGATTTTTTTTCAGTAGATAAAGCATAAAAATTTTGACATGATAGAACATGTGAAATACTGTTTAAGCATTGTGATCAAATGTGTTTTTTGGAAGTATTCATTAAAAAATTATTCAAAAATGATTTGTATTTCTAAGTGACAGCTTGACGTGTTACTTTGCTTTCCAGATTCCAAGCTGATTACCAGCACCTAAATTAATTAGTAAGTAAAACCGGTGATAAATAATTTGAAGTGGCAAAAAAAATTTAAAATTGGCAAAATGCTTGACAAATTTTTAAACATTTTTCAGAACAATTTCTGGGGTGTCCCATATACAAGTATGAAGTCTGAACCCCTCACTTTTTATTTTTATTTTCTTTCTCATTTATTATCATAGAAAGATAGAAATGTAAATTATTTCTTTCAATTGAATAGTTTAAGAAACAGAAAAGAAATGTGTTTTTAAGAGAAAGTTTGGTGGGTTAAAAGATAGGAGGAGAGAAATTAAAACAAGAGATTTTTACCTTCCACTCTGTTAAATGTAAGGAAAACAAAAGGGAGAGTGCTTTATTGTGTCAAATTACAGCTTGAAACTTTTTAGTCACAGCTGCATCACCCAAATGAGAAGGAAAACATCATATTTCCACAATTACAAATCGTTGTTTGAGGAAGTTGTAATTAAACACTTTGAGAAGAGTTGGGTCAGGTATTGAGATAAGGAAGATGTCAATCTTCTCTGCAATCTGAATTTGGCTTTTAACACCAGAACAGGGAAGAATCAGGAGAGGGACACACATAGCTAATGTGCATAGGAGAGAAATTGATTAAAACCAGGGCTGTGGAGTCATGTAAAAATCTGCCGACTCCGACTCTGATTTTTCCTTACCATCCGACTCCGAATCCGTTTCATATACTTAACAAGCTGGTAAGTAAAAGGGAGTCAGAGTCAGCGGATTTTTTGACGACTCTGGCTCCGACTCTGGCTAAAACACCAAAACTCCACGACTCTGACTCCACAGCCCTGTTAAAAACCCATGCTCCCAAGGACAAGCATCTTTTTCTTCAAGATCAACAAGTCTTTTCCTTCAAAAGACCAACCCTAGTGCATCGGTACTTCTCTGTCCTGAAAAATCACCCAATTGGAAGGTTGTCTCTGTCTGCTGCAGGAATTACAGAACTCTTTCTGCAAAAGATCCCCAGTAGCATCCAAACCATATAAGTAACAAAAAGATACTGGTTGCCAGATGGAAGGTGGTTTAATCCCTTCCTTTAGGATAAATTTCTATCACCCACATGATTGTCAATTTTCTATGATGTCATATGACTAATTTTAACAGTTTTCTTAAGGTTATTTTTAGTGATTGTGGTTAAACACCATACTGAGAGGAGAAAAATTTTTTGATTTGTGAAATGTACTGTATTTTCATGCTTCTTTGAGATCTTTAAAAAGTACATTTACCCTGTCTAGTTATTATCATTTTTTTTATATATTGAATTTAATATTTGTTTATTTCTTGGATATTTATTCTTATATTGATTTTGTATAGGTAATTTACATGGATGGTATTAAGTGTTTTCCAACAGACATACAAGAAATTCTGGACACCATGATGGAAAAAGGATTGAGAATAAGAACACCTCTTGAAGAGATAGAAATACTACTCGAGCATCGACAGAAAACTGAATTGAAAGATTTGGAAGAATCGTCAGCAGTGAAAACTGAAGAATTACAGGAAATGGCAGAAAAAGTTGAAGAGATGGTAACAGATACTTGATATTGTGTAAATTTGTTGTAATATTTGTACATAATTAAATGTTTTATACAGAATTATATAAGGTATTTATTATGCTTTAATTTACTTTAATTAAAAAACTTTGAACTTGATACTCACAGAAATAACAAACTTTTATTTATTTAATGATTATGTACTTAATTAAGTATCGTTAAGTCTTAATTTTCAAATAACTTATAATGGGTTTCAGGAACAATAGAGCAATTTATACTATAGAAAGAATTGGCTCTTCAGTTCTACCCATAGTACTCAGATTTGAGTTATTCATGTCGCAATAGACACATACTAAGAAGTTATATAGTATACAAATGATTCTGGATTAATTACATAGAATAGAAATACAATACTTGAAAATATCAGATGACAACCATTAGTATGAAGAGTAGACTGTATACATGGGCATCTATCCATAAGGAACAGAGGTGATAAAGTATATCCTCCAAACCTCTACGTCAATTTGATGCAAGTAAAACTCATTGTAAGCAGTTCAACAAATGGTCTTTATTTTAATTATTTATCTGTTATGAAACTTAGTTTATATATAACAATGGAATATATAATATAATATATCCGTTATAATATATAAACTGAAGTGCCAAAAAATTAGAGACACCTACGTAATAACATGTAGCTCCTTCCTGAGCCTATATAACTGCGAATTTATGATGTGGCATAGATTCTATGAAGTGTTTGAGTTGTTGCACAAGTATTTCAATCCAGACATGTTCAATAGTTCTCCATAATTCAGTTTGCATTTGTTGGATAGTTCTGCAAGACATTGAGTAATGTTTGCACAGAATCCCATAAATGTTCTATGGGGTAACCGAGGCAGAAAAGGGAATAGCTGAAAATCTGTCAAATACTCTCAAACCATTGTTGTGTCATCTGTGTCCTACGGGGAGTAGCATTATCCTGCTGGTACCAACCATTACTGTCAGGGAACATAGCAAGCATAAAACAGTGCAAAAAGTATGTCACAAGATTAGTATACATTGCAACTGTGAAAGTCAGCTGCAGACTCACCATTAGTTCCTGTTCACGCTAATAGAACACATTATTTTTAATA